ATGATTACAAAATGATTAATTTTGTTATGATAATTTTAACTGCAAAAATATATTGAACTGAATAGAATAGAAGTCCCACATATTTATTTTATAATAATATTTACATATGTTATGAATATTACGTGTTATAATTTTGTTTGTAAAGTTAAGTTTCTGCGAGTATGCATATGGATAATCAAATTGAGATTGGATATGATATTTCTATAAAACTATTATATGATATTATTTTGTTCAAACTAACTTGATCATGTCAATGTAAGATATATTATGGTGTTTTTTAGAATAACCTTTCTTTGTAATTTTCTCAATGCAAGTGAAGAATATATTGATAATTTCACATATTTAAAAGAGATGCTAAAGAAATACATTTCAGTATATAATTTGATAACAACATACCATGCATAGTATAACTAAAAGGAAGATATGCTTGAAAAGGATTGGCAATAATCTGCTTGAGAAATTAGCATACTCTATTGTTGCCAGGAGGAGTAAAAGTGAAATTGTAGTAAAGATAATGTTGTACTCTTTTTTCTTAACAAATGTTTTGTCTCACAGGGTTTTCCTTGTAAGGTTTTTTAACAAAGCAGCTTCAATATATATTGTGTACTCTTTTTCTTTCATTAGGTTTTTATCCTAATGGATTTTTTCTGGTAAGGTTTTAATAATACACAATATTTGTTATGAACATCAAAAGGGGAGTGTTATAAATATTGTATATATGTGGATGTCCATAACTCCTAACTCTTAGAATGTTTCATAGGATTCTTGATCTTTGAATGTTATAAACCGATAACCTCCCAATAAATGACTTGAGATGAATTTTTCATGTTTATTGTCATTATCCCCTTCTTCATTTCTTTATAATCTTTGGATTAGATTTTAATGGTTGGAAGTCTATAAATAGAGGTTATGTATAAAGCATTTGGACTCGTATAAGTATATGAGAAATACTTCTTGTTTTATCTCCCAATGCTTATCTCACTATTCTCTTTCTACTCTCTAACTCTTTCGTTTTCGTAATAAGTGCTAATTAATATTCAATAGTTTCAATTTCATTTTCTATATTTTTTTGGGATTGTTAAAGGAAAAACCGTAAAAAACCTCATAATGCAAAATTCATTGCTCAATCCACAACAATATATTTCTAGTGGGTGTAAGTCTTTTTCAGTCCTATATAACGCAGTATGCGTAAAGGTACATTTGCCCTGAGTAATTTTTCAACAATAAAATTATATTTTGTCCAAAATTTTAATTGACAAATATTACAGGGAGAATCTCCCAAAAAAAATCTCTAAAATTTTAAAATCTCAAATCAGGAATAATTACAAAAACATGTTATTATTTATTTTTTAAAATATTATTAATTGTTACTAAATTGTAATAAACAATACTTATTTAAAATTTTAGAATTTTCCCAATATTACATTATCCTGCATGTTTCATCCATCTCGTCTAATCTTATTTCAAAGCACATGGAGGCTAAAAAAAATAAAAGAAAACTTCCGGAATCTCGTGCGAGTACGCAGTCAGTGTATAGGAAAATATAGTATTAAAAATATCTGAAGGAGAATGATATAAAATTTAGGGAGAAGGATAGAAAAAAAACTTAAAATTTACTAAATCTCAAATCAGGTTTGATAATAACATTTTATTTGATATTGATAATATTAAATTTGTAAATGACAATAGATTTTTATTGACATTTCTTATTTGATATTTACAAATTTTTAACCTTTTCTTTGGGGTCATTTTCCCAATAATTTTATTGCTTTAATTTTAAAAAAAACCTTTTAATATTAAAATAGAATTCTCCCCCACATAGTTTTTTGCATATCAAAATCAAACTAATTAAAATATAAGAACATTTTTGAATCAGTCATAAGTTCACAGTCGCACATCTACGTGATTGAACCTGATTACCAGTAGTATTTTCTATATCGTTTTAGCCAAATTATGGATAGCGATATTACAATAAACACTAATATCTTGTTCAATCAATTCCATAAGTAACTTTCCAAGCAATCATTTTTCAATGATTAAATTCAAAGTAGTTAGTGTAATGCATATTAAATAATTATCACTAATTAAATGAATTTAGTATTTACTTTAGCTTTCTATATAATTACCGTTTGAAATTAATTTCTGGCATATATTTATTCTTTGATATAGCCTTTAATAAATGAAATATCAATCATTTCAGGGAAAAATTCAAAGTAAAGAATTATTTATATGGAAAATTCATATTGGTCGACCAAAAAAATTCTGTAGCATATTTTGGGAATAAAAAATATATACTATTCTGGCCCTTATTAGTATTACTTGTCATTTATAAGACTTTCTCACACATCAAGGAAAACATTAAATAGATGAAAATTTTCACTTTTGTCCCTATTAAAGAGAACATTAAATACTAGTATATTTTTCTCTTATTCATTCCCTTTTTTCACCTTTACTGCCTCTGTTTCATATTGTAACAGATGGTTAACCAAATTACGTTAATCAGAAAATTAGTTAAAATTAGTTAGAAACAATAAATATGTAAAAAAATGCAATTTATTTTTCAAAAACACCTTTTATTTATGAAAAATGTGGGTGTAACTTGTAAGAGAGAATAAGTGGGAAAGATACAAGAGCAAATGAGTAAGGAAAAAAGATAAAAGAGACATGTAATTAATTGAGGAGAAATATTCAAAAATGTATTAAATGTCTAAACATCTTTCAGGCGCCTCTTATAAAAAAAAAACATGTCATTTCAAAGAAATGTCGATGGAGTATTATAATTAATAGGGATAGAATTAAAAATAAAATATTAAAAAAATACAAATAAAAAATGAAAAGGACTAAAATCTCCTCTTTACAAGTAGCAAATAATAAAAATTAAAGTGGTACATAATTTTAAGAAATGTGTCGCAATTTACTTTGTACATCATTTTTAAAGTAAGTTGTGCTGTTATTTCTCAATACTCCCGCTTCCCACTGCTCTACTAGAAAATATGATTAAGTTATTAAATTTATTTTAAAATGAACATGATTTTTAAATTTATTCCTATTTAAGATTACGAATCACATTTTGAGAAATGAAAAGAGAAAATTATACTTCTCTGATACTTGATATAAAAACTAACTAGAAATTTCTTTCTTGTGCGATACACAGACTAAAATATTTGATTAAATTTTAACTTTCAATGAATTATATTATCTAAGGTAGCTCAAGATTCGCTTTTTATAAAAGTGTGATTTTTTTATTCATTTAAATGAGATTTGAATTAAAGATTAGAAAATTAGAAGGAATGTATAAAAATTTAAAATTATTTATTTATTTCTCTATTTAAGTCCTCAATCGGCATACTATTTAATTATGATATTTTTTATTTAATTTAATATATTTAAACCCCAATTAACATATTATTCAAATTCAAAATTAATTATTAGTTTTTCATTTAAGCCTCTAATTGAAATCCCATTTAATAATGATACTCCTCATTTAATTCAATATACACAAATTCCAATCAAAATATTATTCAAATCTTATTAATTGAATATACTCGGATGTCATAATGTCATACCCAAACTATTTTTTAAAACGAACTGGGTATTATAAGTTTTCAAGAATATAGTTGATAATTGATGATTGATTATTAAGTTAATTTTGGTTTTAAATATAAAACTTATTTATCATATTTATCATTTTTTTCTAAATGATTCATATTAATACTCCCTCAACTATAATAAAATAGGAGATAGATGGAGGATATTAAAAAAGATTATTATTATGTTTTAAAAAAATATATTATATTTTTTATGGTTAACTAACTTATCTAACTTTTTTAATATAATCAAATTAGTTAAATGATTTTTATATTAATAGCATGAAGAGTAGTATCAAATTTTAAATAGAAGCAGTTTTAAACCCCACCTATACAAGAGATTTTTATAAAAAATAATTTTTCTTAAAGTGATGTCCTTAAACATAAGAAATAAATTCTGTTTATCTAAAATTTTAAGTTGATCCTTTTACTTTTATCCCCATTAAATATATGTCACTTATTATCTCTTTTTTTAATTTTTTGCCACCATGTAACTTATTATCTTTCTGCAATAAATTTTGCTCATTATCTCTTATATTTTTTTCTACAAATAAGAGTATAATTAGAAATAAATGTATATATTTTACACATTTATTACATTTAATCAAATTTAACTAATATTTTGAACCACTTGATCTTGGTTGTTGTTTTTTACTACCTTCAGTTCTAATTATAAGATCTCACTTATAGTTTACAAACAAAATTTTATATTTGGACCGGAGATAATATAATAAGAAGGGAGGAAGCACCTCCGTCTAGGCCTTTAGTCTTTAATATAAGTTGCTTTTACAAAAATGATTTGGTTTAAAATTTAAGCACTTTTAATTAGGTTTGTTCATCAATTTTATCTCTACAATTAATGTTTAAATATAACTATTTGTCTTTTTTTTCTCTCCTTCATAATCTCATTTAATGAGTAAAATTGAGAAAAAATTTTAATTTGAGATTGATGTAATGAGTGAATTATTTTTTTTTTTATGAGTTGTTGAGTTAAAGTGATTTATATTATAGATGAGGGGGAGCAACACGGATCCGAGTAATTTTTTATCTGAAAAAATAATTTTTTTAAAGTTAACTAACGTTCCCTTTTATTCTGCTTTTTTAACTGTCAAATCTAACAAATTCAGCTAAAGAGCAAAACTAAGGAAATGATTATCCATGGGAAAGTGCGCATTAACTTTCCTCTATAAATTTCTCGGGGTTTGTTAGATTCTCTTTTGTAAAAAAAAAAAAAGCATTAAAATCTTTTTGTTAGTTAGTGTGTTGTGATATGATTGGCTCAATCTCAGTCTCTCCCAACAAAACAAAAAGAGCTTCGCCTCAATAAATAAACAGTAAATGATTGCAAAACAATTATTCAAAATTTTCAAACCATAGGAAAGCGAGAGAGAAAGAGACGGAGAAAGAGATAGTGAGAGAGAGAGAGAGAGAGAGAGAGAGAGAGAGAGAGAGGGCTGCAGATTTTTGGGATGCGAAGCAGAGGGTACCAAGAACAAAACAGAGGAACTTTCGGTGTGAAACGATGTCGTTTCCAGGGCAGGACCGGGACCAGAACAAGAACCCTAGCCCTAGCCCTAGCCCTAGTGCTCCATCGACGAAGAAGAGACCATCTAGCTGGTCTAACGTCTGGCTCAAGAACACCAAGCCTCTCAAGCATATGGTGGTCGCCATGCAACTTCAGTCCCTGTCTCCTCCCGGCGACCCCAAATTCAAAACCCTAAGTCCCAATATTTTCCCAATTGACTCGACCCTTCTCTTGTCCGACGAGCTTCTCCTCAGAATCTTCGCCAAGCTCCCAGATTCGCAAAGGAAGTCCATTTCTCTTGTCTGCAAACGGTGGTTGAATCTGCAGGGGCGGCTCGTGCGGACCCTCAGAGTGCTTGACTGGAACTTCGTTTTATCTGGTCGTTTGATTCATAGATTCCCCAATTTAAACCATGTAGATATGATTCCTGGGTCGTTCATTTCGCCGCGGAATTCGGGTATTTATCTGAGTCACCGACTTGTTTCGATGCATATTGATTCTGGATTTTACCCCAATTGGTGTTTCGGGGAGGAGAAAAATCTGCTCCCTGTTGATGTCATCGATAATGGTCTGAAAGCTCTTGCTAGTGGGTGTCCCAATTTGCGTAAATTGCATGTTATTGGTGCTAGTGAAGTGGGTTTATTGAGTGTGGCTGAGGAGTGTTCTACGCTGCAAGAACTGGAATTGCAGAAATGCGATGACAGTGTTCTGCGAGGGATTGCAGCGTGTCAGAATCTGCAGATCTTGAAATTGGTTGCGAATGTTGACGGTTTCTACAGCTCAGTGGTCTCCGATATTGGATTGACTATTCTGGCTCAAGGTTGCAACAGACTGGTCAAGCTTGAGCTTAGTGGTTGTGAAGGGAGCTTTGATGGGATCAAAGCAATAGGAAAGTGCTGTCAAATGTTGGAAGAATTGACTTTATCAGATCACAGAATGGATGAAGGATGGTTGGCAGCGCTTTCATTTTGCGAGAACTTAAAGACCTTGAGGATCCAATCATGTAAATGGATCGATCTTAATCCTGGACCCGAGGAGCATATGGGTTCATGTTTTGCACTTGAACGGTTGCATTTGCAAAAGTGCCAGTTAAGAGACAAAAGTAGCATGGGAGCTATATTTGGGGTATGCAGGGCTGCAAGAGATATTATCATCCAAGATTGCTGGGGATTGGATGATAGTATGTTCAGTTTTGCAAGCATCTGCAGGTAATGTCCTATTCTGCAGTTCTTGTTATTTCCCAATTACACGACATGACTGAAATTTTTTTGCCATTTTGTCTTTATGGTTCTGTATCGAAGTATTTTTGAAGTCATTTTATATGCTCTTCGATTTTCGGGTTTTGTTATTTTATATCGCTTATGCGAACTGTAAATTGCACAGCGTCAAAATTTTTGTTGCTTTATGCATTACAGTAAATAGCGTTATGCTGACCGTCAATTCAAATTCTTCATTGAGAGGATGATCTATATTGAATTCTGAACTATAAAAAACCCCAGGTTATATTTAAATTGAGGAGAATGGGAAGAAACTAGGGAAAGTCAAATTTAAAGTGTGAAATGTTGTTCTTAATCATTCAAGTTATCAAATATTTTCTTGTTATTCTCATCCATTTCCTGCTATATCGATATATATAAAGAAAAATTGCTGGGTTTAATTCTAAATGAGAGAAAATGTCACTCTTAAAAATTTCATTGCTGGCCATTTTCTTCAATTGAAATGTAGTTTTAGGAACCTCCATGGTCCCATTGCAATGATTTGATCTCTTTGCAAACTCTTTTCTTTCATAAATTCACCTTAAGCTTGAGTTAACTCGTTTCAGTCTCTTGGTACGACAAGTTTTCAGCAAAACTCTGCTCAGCTTTAATTATTGAAAAAATCTAGTATAAGAACGTGAACTAGACAAAAATTACCTCAATAGGATCCTAACATCGGTAAATACTCCCACGGTTAAGTTACTATCAGATTTTAGATATTTACCATAACATTTTAAGAATGCCATTGCTAATTTTAAGAGTGTTTAAAGAATTTGTAGTAATTGTCCTAAAACCTTACATCCTGCTTGATAAATACAGAGGAAATGCGATGATATCTATTATTTAATATCCAATATATCTCTTATGAGCAAGTGATGCTGAAATGGAGATGTCCTATATATATTAGACTTGATTACTATTGTTGCCGTGTGTTAATGGTTTCGCTGTTGCTAGTTGACCCTTGACAAGTTATAAGCAAACGCGGTGTTCTGAACAAAAAAACTGATAGCTACTTCTCTATTGCAGGCGGGTGAAGCTTTTAAGCTTAGAAGGATGTTCATTGCTAACAACAGAAGGTTTAGAGTCTGTAATTCAATCCTGGAATGATCTTCAGAGCCTTAGAGTAGTTTCCTGCAAGAGCATAAAGGATAGTGAAATCTCACCCTCTCTAGCAACCATATTCACCACACTTAAAGAATTAAGATGGAGTCCAGATACCAAGTCTCTTCTTCCATCAAGTCTAATGGAGGGAAGCATGGCAAAGAGAGGAGTTAAATTTTGCAGAAGAACTTGACGATTCCTGAAATTAGTTGATCTGTAATCATAATAAAAAGGATAATAAAGTAGGCCTCAGTCATAGAAACAGATCGTTGTTACTGACTCTTAGTGAGAGTTGTATCAATATATGTTCATTTAGATGGTTAACATAGATACAGACGATTGAAGTTTTTCTTCTGATTTCATCCATTTGACTGAGGAGGGAATCCAGAGATGTAATTATGTAATAAAATGTAGAGAGCTCGCTCTAAGTAGAATAAACCCTTGTTCAATGTAATTTTTTCATTGCCCAACTATTTTGCCATTCGTATACTCTGTTTTTAGGATGAATACGTATTATTCAGCTAGATAGAGAGAGAATTGATCTAAGTCCCTTCTAACGTTGGAAGCTGGACACAAAAACTTGTATGGCAGACAGGATAAGTTGTTCAGAGTATACTGCGGGAGACTTAATCGTTATGCTTATTTGGTTCAATTAATCGTTATGCTTAGCTAGCTTCATTTATTCTATACTTTTTCCTATTATATACCACATAAGTTGCTCAGACTGTTCTGTTTTTATATAACATGATTGGATTCTCTTGCATTCGATATAGTCTGAAAAATGGCTTGTACTGCTCCCATATTTTTATTAATATAACTTTCTCACCAAGTCCTTTAAATTTTCCCCAACCTGTATAGTTTCTTGGAGGGATAGGATGTTAATATTCCTTTCTTTCATTACTCCCACCACATCCATGGAGGTCCCAATGTTCTGGTGACAAATACGATCTTGTTCTTATAAACTTACTTCTTTAGCCGTATTTGTGTAGAAGAGTACACTAGCTCTTGTTCATCCAACTATAGCAATGATACAACAGTTCATGCTTATTTGTCTTTGTACTTGGAGCTATACATTGTGTTACTTTTGGACCTAGCTTTACATTAGTCGTTGATGACGTGATACAACCCTTATTTTTTATTTGAATTTGGGATCAGCTATAAAATAGAAGTGGAGTTAATACTACCTTCGATAATTAATATAAGAACTAGTTGACTAATTTGAATAGATTAAGAAAATTAGTTAAGTTAGTTATTTGTACTAACTCTGTTTCTTATTATAAGCTTCAAATAGCTAATTTATAGATAACGAACAATTAATTAAAATTAGTTAAAAACAATAAATATGTTAGAAATATGTTTTTGGCTTCCAAATATACTCTTATAATAATTGATAAAATGGATGAAAGAGAAATAATTAAGGGCAACATTGAAAAAAAATACATTAAATGTTAAGACTAGTTTAAATTGAAGCTTAAAAAACAGATCACATCATTTCCCAAATTTGAAGCTTATAAATATATAAATAGGATTGGGGGAGTAGTAAATATGTGATGTTTTTTTTCAAATATCTTGACTAATCATTTATATTAGCTAAAATTATCTTTTGTTAAAATATTTAACATATGCAATTATTACAAAAATTATCTTAAAAAAATGGATAAATATGAAAAGCAAAGTGAATTGGGATCTTATATTTAAGACTAAATTGAATGTCAAACTAATTTTTATATTAAGGACTAGGGGTAGCATATCACAGCAATTAAGGAAACATAATTGAATATGTCAAGATTTATTATTTTCAAAATCAGAGGTTGCATTTAGTAAAGTGGAAAACTTGGCATTTGGTTCTGAGAGGTGTTCTTAAATAAAACAGAAGAAACACACACACGCACATGTTGCAAATAAGAGAAGGTATCCTGGCTCGTCATAACTCTGACAAAAAAAAACAAAAAAAACCTAGCTTGTCATAACATGGCTGACATCCAATAATGAATAAAACGGACTGAGATAAAATGTTTTCAAAATTATTACCACAATGTTTTAAATAATTTGTCCAATCCTGGCCCCATAGAAGGCAGGGATGGACCTGACAAAATCGTAGCCCTTTTTAGAGAAAGGCCTTCCCAACTTGGCTTTTGTACAGCCCAACTTTTTAAGTGCAAGCACCTTAAATATAGTTGCCTTTAATAGAATGATATGTATGACAGCAATAATAATGATAATAATAAATAAATAAAAAATAAAGAAAGAAATACTCAATATTTCTTTGACCTTAAAATTCCACTTCCGCATGTTTCAATGGCTATACTCTTGTATAGTATAGTCACCATCAACTCAAGGGTTCATTGGTCTGAGCATGCAAGCAATTATCCACATTGGTGAAAGTCACGAATAAAGTTGGCCCAAACAGAAAAAAACAAAGTCATTAATAGGGGCCCATTATATTAAAATATTTTTTTTGATCTAGTACTTAATATTTAATTTAATACATATAATTTTTATTTAAGTCCTTGTAGTTTTTTATTGGGTTCTTATAATTTTCTCTATTACAGTACAGGTATTGGTTCCTATATTCATAATTTGTTTAATTTTGTCATATGAATTTAAATAAAATCAAAATCAACCAAATTATAAATTATATATAGAAGCAAGGAAAAAAGCATGGGCATAATTTTTTTGTTTTTATATTTATGCTAAGTAAATTTTATTTTTTCTAAAAAATGTATTATGTATTTTATGACAATTTACATGCCGCTTAATTAGCATCTGTATCAGCATAATTAACCAATTATAAGTATAGGGACTAATGTCTATAATTGATAGAATTGTAAACACCCAATAAAAAAGAGAAAAAAAATTACATGATCTTGGTTAAAAGTCAAGTGAAACCCTAAGGAGCAACGAATCAAATTTCTTATTTATATTAAATATTAGTATTTATGAATTATTTTATCTAGGTTTTAGTTATCTTATCTCAGTGAGACAGGTTTGTTGCCTCAAAAACTCTATTTATACCCCTGATTCTGAATAAAACAACGGCGAATGAGAAAATAATCTAAGTCTTTAAATTGTCTCCTTAAAAACTAATTAGAAAAATTTCATATTATTATAATCATTAATATAAATATCAATATCAATATAAATAGATATAAAATATGACATTTATAGTAACTCATTCTATTTTAAAATTGCAAACACCGTAATGTTCTATTCAATTATAAATACACTAAAAAAACCTGGTTAAATAAAAAATATGTTCTAATTAAATTGTAAACACAGGTACAGGCACACCATAGGAAAAATAAAGCCAAAAAATCTATTTCACGTGGCATGAATCTGGAATGACTATGATTTTCTATTGGGACGGTTCCTTTTTTATTTTTTATTTTCTCTGCTTTAATTTGTTATTGACCAAACTACTCGGACGGTTCACCGACTCAATTAAGAACATTTATAGCTAGTTTTCTTTAGAATTTAAAGCCTCCAAATTATTTCATAAGCATTCAAATATTATATCACTTAAAAAATTTTCATTTAACAAAGTCAAACCCTTATTTAATCCCTCATGTGTTCTTTTGAAGACAAAAATACATATTAGTTTTCTAACTTTGTATATGATTTCAGTTTAGCCAATTTTGAAAAATATGTTTTTAGCTTTTAACATTAATACCACTAATTTAAAATGATAATTCTCAAGGATCAACATCATTTCTAGTCATTGAAGATTGACCTCGTTTTGATTTTGGTTCTTGAAATTTAAAACTAATGATTTTGGTTTCTAGAATTTGATCTCATTATGGTCCATTAAGGATTTTTGATTCCTAAAATAATGTTTTTGGTCCCTAAAATGAGGATTTAAAGACCAAGCCTCTGGGTTTCAAATTTCAAGAACCAAAATGATGTTAAATTTCAGGAACTAAAGATGGTATTAATCCTAATTTTAATGCAACAATCATTATTATTTTGAAAATTAAACTTAAGATGCCAGCATTTCACAATATTTTTTCAACATCTAAAATTTCAATGTCAACATTTTTTAATTAATGGTGTCAGGATTAAAGTGCTAATGGAAAAAGACTTTAATTAAGATATCAAAAATAAAATGTGTAATTTTGAATTCTTTAAATATTTTTCTTGTGTTTTTTTCGTTGGTCAACTTAAATGAAGCAACTTCATTCCCACATCTTTGGATCCTACGCATAATACAAATACTGTGATTAAGTGGCAACATTAAATTATTAATTAAAATAAATAAATATGAACAAATTTGTCCAGATCGGTGCCACTTGTCTCTAACTTCAAATAAACAGATCATATAATTGCTTACCATGAAGATTTGAGTTAGCAAATTAATGGCTGTCCACAAAGATTTGTCTTCATTTTAATTAGTTCAATGTTAAGCCTATATGATATGGTTTTCTAGTTGTTGTACTATTTTATTTCAAATTTTCGGTGTACATTAATTTAATCTATTCATCAATTAATAAGGTAATAAGAAAATCTCAGTTGTAATGTATTGCACAACCATACCATTATTGCAATATAATGATGGTTTTATAAATTAATGGTCAAGGCTCTGCGAACCAAAAAAAAAACGCTTGTGAAGGAAAAAATATTTTTAATAATTTTTACTTGATATATTATTCTTCAATATAGTGCTCTCAAGAATGATCAAATTAGGGTTGATGATTATATAATTAAAATCATATCATAATAAGTTAAAATTTCTCTGAAATTTCCTTGCAATTACATATATCTTTCTTTCATTTTGTTAAAACCAATATGAACCTTTTTTGTAAATCTTATTAGTTATTACAATTACATAAACATATTAAGAATTCCCTTTATTACTTTTAAAATGATATTATAACATATATTTATATCATTTAAAATTTTTCAGAAAATATCTTTGTAATTTATTCTTTATTTTCACCAAGAGAGATTAATTAACTGAATCATTTTCTCGTATCAATCTGGAAATGGATAAAAATGTTTTGATATTAAGGAAAGAGAGATTAAGAAAAGGGGTTTATGGGTTTGAGAGATTAAATTAAAAATTAAAAAAAATCCTTGATCTCACATGACAAGATTCTGGCAGTGTGCATTGTTGTAAACTTGTAATAATGAATATCTTTAATGGGAAGGGTCAACGCAGCTTGCGCTCTTTCTCAAACTTCATCAAATATGTTTTGGTCACATATACTCTCCTCCTCTTATTCGTAGGGTAGAGAAAGAAATTTTTTTTTATCATATTTATGTGAAAGAGAGATTAATATTTTATATGAATGTAAAATGTCATCCTTCGTTTATTATTATAGTGATTGTTTTAAAATAAAATTCATACTCCTAATAGATTGACTTCAAAAATGATCTCTCTTAACCACCTCAGGCTAGCAAAGTGGCAAAGGTGGTTTAAGGTATGAATAGGTCAAGGGTTTAAAATTAGTGTATGAAGAAAAGAATTGTCTCCTTATATATGAAGAGAAATGTTGGTTTAATTAAACTTACCATTTGTGTCCTTAACTTGAATTAACATTTTTTAATTATGGATATGTATATAACATCACAATATAGTTTTTTTTTTTGGGTTTATAAGTCTAAATATTAATAATTATAGTTTTTGTGTGTGTGTGTGTGACTGTGAAATCATGTGTTAATAATTAGATAAATTATATATATATATATATATATATATATATATATATATATATAAAACCTTGCTTGAAGTCGCAATATATCTTGAGTCTTGATATGCTTCAATGACTTTGTAACAACGTCAAAATAAAAAGATCTTACCAAATCAATTAAGGAGCTACAATACATTTTAAAAATTCCCATTCAATTAAAAAAGACAGACTTTATCACAACTCACAAGATCAAAATATTCCATGTGTTATTGACAATGTTAAATGTCAAAGCGTAATTTATTATTTGAGTCAACGAAGCCTTTTAAGAATGTTGATTATATTTGAAATTTACCAATGGCATCAATTTTCCCCATCGAAGTGGAGTCATGCAACTAGAAGCATTTAATAGAAAGATCGCACGTCATCATTATTATACTTTTTATATTTTGGTTCTATATCCCTTTTGATTGCACCATGTATACATTCACTTTTATAAATATTGATAATCTATTCGCTCTATATATGATTGGAAGATTGTTAGTCATCTTTTTACTCAATTTCTCTTCAAATCATGATGTTAAAACCTAATTCGAGTTGGTTGGTTAGACCAGTAACCCAATGAATCAATCCTTTAGCCAATCTAGTAAAAGGTTTTAGATAGATCAACTAGATTATATTTTATATTTTTCCCATTTTTTGTTAAGTCTGAAATGGTATTGTTTCGAGTTAAAAAAATAGCAATCTATTAGATTTGTACCTGAATAACTCTATTTTGTTTGGATTATGTGTGGTTTATTGAAGAATATTTCATTTACTTGTGAATTATTGTCTTTTTATTTAAACATTACTTTCTTTAGGGTTATATATGAAGAGTTTTGTATGCATTAATTATATTATACCACCTCTATTCCTCAATATAAGAGTTCGTTTAACTTTTATTTTGATTCTAACTATAAGACCATAATCTACTTTGTCTCTCATATTTATCTATTTTTTTATCAAAGTAAATCTGATAATAATTGTAGTTCTTGCTAACACAATTAATTAACAAGAATATTTTAGAAACGAGAACACCAATTTATTATAAATTACTGATATGACTAATTTTTTTAATCTACTCAAATTAGTCAACTAACTCGTATATATTAAGGACCGGGGGTGGTATTATTTTAATTGTGATTGAATTGAAACCTATTCAACTATATGATTAGACCATTAACTTTTGAACCATCGGCTTAATGACTGGTTTGGGTTTCCATTACTTAATTGCTTCAATTATACATATTAATGTTGGACGTGAAAGATCGGATTGATTTGGGTTCGCATTTTGCCACTCTAAGGATAATCTAAACCTTGCAATTGCCAGCTCACAGACCGACTTTGACATTAAAATTGCACACCTCCTAAACTTATATTATTTTATATGCATATATGCACACACAGAAATCCTATTATGAGAAGTAAATGCTGATTTGGGCCATATAATAAAAAGCCCCAAAGACAAGGAAGATCACTTACGCGCTTCGATTTGAATTATTCCTTAATAATTTTTTATTCAGTTGACATTCCAGCATCACGTCTCTTAAAATTTTTTTCGTATCGTTGAATAGATTACTGATATATTCTGTGTTTGCAAGAACCTCAAAGTTCATAAACATAGTAGTTGAATATAATATATGTTGACTTTCTAGCAAATGTCTATATATATAGTTGAAGATAGTGAGCCATATTTGTGCAGTTCTATTGGTTTATACGAGAAAGATCATAGAGGGAGAGAGAGAGAATGACGAGTAATCAAATTCGTTTGAACTGTGGCATTACAATGCCTCTTATGGGATTTGGAACTTATTCATACCCATTTAATAGGAAGACCACAGAGCTCGCCATCCTCAATGCCCTAAAGGTACTTTTATTTTAATTACTACCATGCAAATACTGCTTCATATTTTGTCATTATATTGCCCATTAATTACTTCCTAGCACTCTTATTCATTCATCATTTTTCTGATAGTTTTACTGAGTATGGTTAGAACTCACATCTTTTACTTTTTGAAGATGATCTTTTAGTTATCAGTAAGACCTTAAATTCTGGAATATACTGCATATTAGTGACCCCAGAGCTTATTAGTCTCCTTTTCTGAACATCCTTTGAACAATCTCACACCACAGAAAGAATATTCCTTAATTTCCTTGCATAAAGGGCATTTCACTACAGCAAAATTTCTTTTATGGACGAGTTTTGCCACTTCCATTTTTATTTTTTCATTTTATAGGCCTTGTGGAAACAAGCTTTTGGTGGAAAGAAATTTACATGATTGTTAATGGTTGAGTTTCATGCAGGTGGGTTATAGGCATTTTGATACTGCAAAGATATATGGCTCAGAGGAAGCAGTGGGATCAGCATTGAACAAAGCAATGCAAGAAGGAGTAATTGAAAGAGAAGACATTTTCTTGACATCAAAACTGTGGGGAAGTGACCATCATGATCCTGTTTCTGCATTGAAGCAAAGCCTACGGTAAGTCCAATATATATATATATATGTATATGTATATATATAGTTCTCAACTATTCAATTCTGTGTGCAAGCACTGAACATATCTTCGCTGGAAATGTACAAAGAAAAGTGAAAGATATGATTTTTTTTTCTTCTTAAGTTTTGAAGACTTTAATGCATAAAACTTTAATTGGCAGAAATGTGGGAATGGAGTATTTGGACATGTATTTAGTGCACTGGCCTGTGAAGTTGAAGCCATGGGTGAACTATCCGGTGCCAAATGAAGAAGATTTTGAGAAATTGGATATTGAGAGCACTTGGATTGGCATGCAGAAATGCCTTGAAATGGGGCTGTGTAGGTGCATTGGTGTTAGCAATTTCTCCAGCACCAAGATTGAGTCTCTTTTGGATTCCTCTTCTACACCTCCAGCTGTTAATCAGGTACCTTTTAATATTAACATAGAAACACAAATTCATTGTATTAAAATCCAACCCAATTTGCCAACAAGAGTTAGTTCAATTAATAAATAGTCGACTTATCATGATTTCAAATCCTGTTGCTGATGTGAAGATCTTGTTGGTGAGTAATCTATAAGTACTTATGTAAGTGCTTTTTGATCTTAGAAGCATGTTTTGACCCTAATAAGCCTCCAAGACCTAACTCACTTAAATTTTTTAGTTAAAAAAAAACCCAACCTAAGTCTACTGATCAAACTATTGAATCATTGAACTAGTTTCACGGCTAGTTTGGTCAAGAATTTTAAATGAGGCAAACGAGTTGAACTTCATAATTTTTTCCCCCTTATTAAACTTAAAATGCCATCATTTTGAGTTATAAAAAAAGGGCAGTTCATCTTATTTATGTTTTACTAACTATGTTGAATTGCGTATGATTTATACATTAATATTTCATTTGCTTGTGGACTAATGCTTTTTTATTTAAATATTAATTTTTTAACAGTTACATATAGATATAATTTTGTATAATTAAATTTTATTATTTTAATAAGGATTGAGTTGACTCTGATCCAACTAATCTTTGAACCACCGTCTCAGCATCATCAGCTTGTTCTTGATGCTCTCATAGGATTTGATTTTTTCTGATAAATTTATTTATAATTTATATATAATCAGGTGGAGATGCATCCCATGTGGAAGCAAAGAAAGCTGAGGGAGACATGTGGGGCCCACGAAATCCACGTCAGTGCATATTCACCACTTGGGGGGCCTGGAAATGCGTGGGGATCAACGGCTGTTGTGGATCACCCAATTGTACAATCCATTGCTTCCAAACGCAACTCAACACCTGCTCAGGTAATATGCTACGCCTATTAGATTTTTAAAATTGTATAAATAATTTTTTTGGATTTCCAAAAATATGCATCTAATTCCGAAGCAATTAATTATTATCGATCAATCTTTTTAGTTCTCTGTGCACATAGAGATGTATTTTGATGACATGTCAAATTAATTATGGGCATTTGCACATATTTTAAAGTTTGTACGGTTTATTTACAAATTCTAATGGCAATAACCATTAAGACGTAATACTCCCTCTGATGCTTTTTAGTCTTTTTCATCTAACAAAAGTTTCAGAAAGTTATGTATAATTTAACATAAGCAAAAATGTATTTTATTTTTTTTAGTTTTATAGTATATAACTGTGCACATAAGTTTGGTGTGTCTTAATTTTGTAAAATATATTTTACTCCTTTGGGCCTAATGCTATTAATAAAAGATGGTGATATTGGAAACTTAAATGCTGGTAAGACATATTAAATGCTGATGCATTAAGTTTAATTAAATATTCAAAATAACAATAATTAGCACAAAAAATTATTATTTGAAACTAATGATATTAGACTCAAAAGACTAAAAATATCTTCATAAAATTAAAGGATGTTACAGTAAAATGGGAAAATTGCAATAAGATCCAAATGAAGGAATATATTCATAAAAAAGTTTTATAACAATTGAGTAGCTTGTAATGACAAGTTATAAGTAGAAGACGACAAGATATTTTAACTGTTTACTTGTCATTATGACTTTTTAATAACTATTTCCTTTTTTTAGGACTCATAATAATAATGCTTCCTATTAAAATCTTGTATATATGGTGTTAGAAGACCAAAGCTAGTCTTTTGCCTTTTGACATAAATTTACTGACAACTTTCTTATTTGTTTTGTACAGGTTGCATTGAGGTGGGGATTGTCAAAGGGGTCAAGTGTGATAGTGAAGAGCTTCAATGAAGAAAGGATGAAAGAGAATATGGCGTCACTTGATCTGAATTTGGACCACGAAGATATGTTTGAGATTGAGAAAATGGAAGAAAAGAAGATCATGAGAGGAGAGTTCCTTGTTAATCAAACCACAAGTCCTTTCAGGACTATCCAACAACTGTGGGACCATGAAATTTAATTTAATTTGAAGATATCCATCTATATGGTCAATTATGATCACTCCATGATGCAAAAGCATGCATTGGAAGCTTTGTTGTTAAGATTTTCTATTAACACAAATATAAAGTTTATATATATAAGCGTATATATATAAATAAACTTAAATATTTCAACATTTCAATATTAAATATAAAGTTTAGGTAGGCTGAATGTAACTTATTTTTCAGTTTCTGAGTGATACGCATGGTCGGTTTTTTTCCTTTTTGGATAATAAGACGATTTTATGAAGAAGCAAGTGAAATGATCCATTATAAATGGGTTACAATAAAAGTTCACAAAAACAGATGGAGGCCCAATCAAAACAACACAAAAAGCAAAACCAAAAAATAAAAAACAGAGCTACTCTTGGCCTAATGGTTGGAGAATTACAGAGTCTCCACTTAAGACCCGAGTTCGAAGAGGCGAAGATGGATCAGAAACAACAAAAAAACAGAACAATGCAAACAGCAAGTAAATGCAGGAAAAAGGAAAAAACGTAGTTATCTGCAAAATAAAAAAGCAGAAAGCTCAAAACAAAAGCCCGTGGACAACTCGAACCACAACGTGTCCCAGGAAACGGGATGGTAACTTACATAATTTATTTTCAAGAGTTAGATAACTAATTTATAAAAATTAAAAAATTAGTTAAGTTAATTATTTATAATTAATTAGTATTTTCTTCCGTAAATATTTTTACTAATTACGTGCATGCATTAGAATAAAAACGCTTTAGCACAGATAATGACCATGGGAGTTTAGGGAAAAATGAATAAATATAAACTGGATTGTGGTACTATATTTAGCATCAAATTAAATATTCAATTAACTCTTTTATTTAGTATTTAAGATAATATTAAGATTAGATGCAAATCAAACCACCTTGGCGGACCATCAAGGCCCTAAAATTCCCAAAGGAAGAACTTGTTACTGAAAATGAATCTTAGAGGCAAGCAAACTAGTATTAAAACCAATAACCGTAACCCTATGTTTGCTACCAGGAAATTGGAATGGAGGAAAAAGAGAATTTTCATGAGCTTAATTTAAAAAATTGGAGAAGTGCGATTATAAAATTTTAATAAAGAGAAGATGTAAGATAAAAGAGTAAGCAAAATTAGTTAAAAACTTTTAATCCTACTTCTTTAATTTCTTGAAGGGAACTTGTTAAAATTTTCTGTCCTCTCCCTTTCTTTTCATATCCCTCGTACCAATCTCCTTTTCATATCCCTCGTACCAACCGAACCCTAATGACTTTTAGCTATATGCTTTCAGAATTTGGGTCCACCAGAACCAGATAAAAAAAAAAAAAATTGGGTCCAGAATTTTCAAAACTATTTTACTTATGATTTTGTACAAGCTGTCCATTTTAAGGTGTCAAATTATCACTAAGAAAATCATTTTGCAAGTACTTATACTTTTCATTAATGTTCTATTTGGTGCATGTACTTTTTCTTTCTTTTGATTAATCCTTTTAACTTTATTAACACCGTTAACCCCTTTACATGGGCTTATGGTGCTAACATAAAGATCAAAATTAAGTGACTTAATTAAAAAAAATATAAATACCAAATTAAAAATTGAAAAAAAATCCTCAAGCAAATAATTAACTCAACCTTCAAGTGAGGTGCAAAGAAATCGGACTTGAGTTCTCCCTTCTACCATTTCTGTCCACTTCTTCTCTAATACCTATATCTTCACCCTTAGATTGAAATTTGAGTGGTTCAAATTTTTATTTCTTTTAAAATTACTAATAAAATTTCAAGTTATTAAAAAAATAATAATAATTTCAAAACTGCTAAACTTTACTCATAATAATTTTAAACTGCGATAAAAATATTTAAAAGATAATTTAAAACCCATTCAGTCTCATTATTTGTTCAAGAAAGGTCTTGTGACCTTAGTTTTCTTAGGGAAGGAATAATATTTTGTCTAATTTGATGTTAGAAATGAATTCTATATGTAAAATTATGAGTGAAGGCCGGGCATGTGGAATTAAATTAAAATCATTTGGATTTAAAATCCAAAAATTAAAGTCAAAAAGGTCAAGCAAGGAAGAGTTCATGTTATGCAATTGATTATGAAATTTAAATGGGGAATGGTGTGCAATGTGTTGAGCTTTTACTTGAGCTTTGATATTTGCAAGAGGTACTAAAAATTGGATAGGTCATTGAATTGGTTGAGACAGTGGTTTAAGAGTTAGCGGTTTAGACTGAAGTTAACTTGGGGTTAAAGCAGTCATGATTAAAATAAAATAATTTAATTAAATATGTAAAATATTCAAATATAACCTTGAAAATAGTAATATTATTAAATAAAAAGACATTAATTGACAAGTAAATGAATTATTCATGTATAAATTACACATAATCCAACAAAACAGAATACTAAAGTATAAATATGATGCAATGCTCAAAATGGCAAGTTTCAGGTTTAATAAAGAGGGAAAAAAAAATTTAACTTGATCGACTTATCCAAAATTCTTAATTAGGCCAACCAACAGACTAGTTCACTATAGTCAAATCAGCTAAAGCGGGTTAGGTTTTAATACAGATATTTATCAAGGGCCTAAAAGGATGAGCAAGAAGTTCAAGAGAAAGAGAAAGATTTGGTAAAATGTATAGCATTTTGGCTATTCTTACATTTTAGTTCCACTTGGTTGTCGTAAAGCATGATCAGTAAAGTTGTATTACATGTGATCATATGAATATGTTATGTTTTGTTGAATTTATAGCATGGCCATGTGTTATATATCAATGTTTGATCATGTATATTTTAATGCGTTAGTTTACTTTATATTGACAAATGACAATACCTTGAGAATATATTTTGTCATGCATGCTGAGTGCTTGAATAGTTTATTATGGTACCGAGATTTTCCCAAATCTCATCCCAATTCCTAAATATACAAGTTAAAAACCGCAATCAAAAGCAAGCCAGAAAGAAAGCAAAAAGAATTTCAAAAAGGTAGTGTTAAGTAAAGTGTCTACTTTGAGACTTATGTCCCAAATGTCATATAATTAGTTATGAAAATTTAAAGTTAAACTAAAATTTGAAAATATCAAATTAATAGTAACTCAAGAATGAAAATGCAAATTTTAAGTTTATGATTAGCTTGAATAATAGCGTTTCCGGATGTGTACTCAATTGTGTACGTATCATACCATTTATATATACTAGCTATTAAAAAAATAAGACTAAATCATGTATAGATCTCCCATGACATAGGAATTTTGTGTTTCAGGAGTTCTATTATGGATGTAATGAAAAAAAATAAAATGACAAAAGGACTAGAAAAATCGTGTAAGAAAATTTTCCAAAGCTAGCTAAAGTGACGAGGGATGCTCAGCTCTTAGCAATCAATCCTTGACCATTTTATGTCTAATTGCACCCATCCAGGGCTTAAGATTGGATAACAAGGAACAAATATTACTATCACAAAAATAACTCGAAATACTTCTCAACTTTTCCGGGCAACATCCTTCGAAAAATCGCTAGAATCATAGCCTTTCCACAATAATGGCATTAATTGGTGGGACCTTGAGTTCGACTTGTTTGTATCAGTCTAATTGACTAATCTGAATATCTACTTCATTAAGATGGACCCAGTTTTATTTAATTTGGATGACTAAATTTTTTCTTGTCACCATAGGAAGGGTGTTGCCGTATAATTAATTTGATCAGCTTCCTGGCGAAAGCTACACAACTGGTCAAGATTTTCTATATCTTATACTACCTCGAATCTTTATTATAAGACTCAGTTGATTAAGGTAGGGAGACTATGACAGTTAAATAAATCACTTTTAAATGTTATATTCATTGTTTTTTTTTCAAACTAATTAATCTGATTTATAAATTGATATATAATCTAATGATACACATAAGTAATTTAGAGAAATCATGTAACATATGATATAACTAAGTAATTTTTTTAACATTCTTAATTTTCTCAATTAGTCAACTAATTCTTATATTAAAAACTGGAAGTAGTATTTGAAAAATCAACCAAGCCAAACAGAATGATCGTATTATTTCCTAGCGAAAGTTAGATATTCGACTTTGTCATATTTTTTAAAAAAAGCTTATAAAGAAAAAGACATGATCTATTATTTCTATCTATCGAAAAAATCAAAGGCAGTTTATATGAATTTCTTGAGATTAGAAGACGAAAGAAATCAAAGATTGACTGAGAAACATTGATCACGTCCCAACCTGTGTGCTGCCCACCGCAACTAAGAAGAGAAAAAAAAATGAAAGAGTTATCGCTAAAAATGATCAACAAGTCAACAAAATGGTGCCAATACGGCATACATTAGCATATGGCCGCCACCTAGTCAACAAATAAGGCTTACTATGATACATACTAATTAGTAATTTTAATGTAATTTGTAATTAGTATTTTGAGGTAACAATCACTAGTAATTTTAGGACCTGTTTGGATTAGTAATGTGATTTATGTTTGGATTGGTTTTTATAGAAGTAAAAGTTGTTTAGATTATGATTAAATAAATAAGTTCTGTTTATAAAATGACTAAAATAGGTATGATTTATTAAATAATAAAAAATGATAAAAATGAATTTACAAAATATAATTATTTTGAATTATTTTAATAGAAGAAGTTAAATTTAATGAATCATCTATATTTAAAAAATTAGAAATATTATAAAAAATTATTTATGTAAACATTTTTTAACGAAAGAACATTTTTATTAATAAAAGAAAATACAAAGAATTCGGAGAAACAAAAGCAAGCGAACAGTAATAAAAAAAACAAACAAAAAACAAAATAGAAACAAAACTGTCATGTCTGTCAGGAAAATACAGAGGAAAAAAATATATTAACGTAGTGGAAGAGTTTCACATATGCCGCCCAGCATCGCAAGCATATATTGGTTCGTTTGGATGAATGATTAGAAAAATAGTTTATTATTAATTTGATTTTAAAAAGATTTAATTAAGTAAAAGTTAAATTGACTAATGTGAAT